GCTAAAATGAACGAATACAGTTAGACGAAATTTATCATTTTCTAGATAAAATCTGTAGCATATTCTAACAGTATATATAGTAGATTAGATTAAAATTTAATTCTGGCTAAATATTTATTGAAATGTGCCTCTAATTACGCAATCTCTCTAAATGAACTCTTAAATCTTAAACTCAAATATATATTTTATTTTCATAAGTGCACTTTTTTATTATTCTCCAAGTGTCTCTTATAAAATTCGAGCCTTTATAAAAGTTAGAGTTTTAACTAGAGATGTGACACCGCGCAGCCTGCACATGCATTTTTTGAGGCAGTGCAATGCAATTTCATAATTCTGGCCAGCTTTATAATCCAGGTTTGAATTACGAATCGGAAATCAGTTCAGATCGGCCCAAAAGAAAAACAGATCTGCATTATCTGATTAATAGAATCCATCGCTCATAATTCTGATCAAAATTGCAGATCATTTGACCACATTTAAAGTTGGTTTGTTCTAGATCTGGCCAAATGATGTGCAAATTTGACCAGAATTATTAATTCACCAATATGCAGAGAAAAAGTGAAAAAACCACAAAACAACATTTAAACTAACCTTGGAGCACTAATTAAAAATGATGAGAGCTCAACTTTACACATATGAAGTAGATGTTATATATATATATATGTGAAACCTAATGAGTAAAAGTCTCTAGGAACTGAGCCTGTGCAGGCTGCGCAGCCTTCGCAGTAGATTCAAAAAAACCTCGATTTTCTCATCTGTTTTAACTATAGAAGTAGTACAATTCCAATTAATTTAAGAACTATTATAATTTATCCAATAGGATTAAGACTGAGCCTCTTTTTTTTGAAACAACATTTGTACTAACCACTTTGCTTTTATATAATATAATGATACAGTCAGAACAAAAACAATAATTTAATAAATATATAACGAAGTTAAAAGCCGAGATAATAAATAGAGAAATTAACATTATTTAATAATCTAGAAAGGATAATTATCTGATCACAAACATCTAATTCGCATTTTTTTTATCATGTGTCAATTGACAAAAGGCTTTATAGGTAAAAATAACCCCCGTAGCTCACTCACAAGATTTTTTCAGCACGTGACCATGGCCAATTAGATTGAAGGATAAGGTGTAATGTGAAAATCACATCTTTTAAAAAATCGCTATTAACTAGAAATTTTATCTATGAAACTGCTTTCTGCATTCTAATAAAAAAATTTTATCATGAATTTTAGTGTAAGCTATGACCTTTCTTATCCTTAATCCTAACTCTAAAGATGATTTTACGTTACACCTGATCCTTTGATCTAATTGGCCAAAAATCACGTGTTAAAAAAATCTTGTGGGTGAGCTACTAATGTTGGTAAAAAATCTAGAAATTACAAGACGAAGTCACAAGATTAAAACAACCAATCGGATAAAAAAGAGACACACCATTTCAAATGCCCATAAACCATACTCTACGTTGTACATTATACAAACTCCGCTCCTGGTATATCAAAAACTCTGCAAAAAATTGAAGCAATTATCACTTGAAATAATCAGAAATACATTAAACATATCTTAAACTACCTTTCTAATATTAACTAAAAACTTATCTTAAAATATCTTAGTTTCAAAACAAACTTCTTAGTTGAAACACTAATTTTCAAAAATCCTTTCTTAAGATATTTAAAATCAAAATGTTAATCTTTGAACTACTTATATATTTCAACCTATATAACAGAAACTTAAAATCTTATACTAACCCATTTTGTGCAAAATAGCTCAAAACATTAGAAGATACTTACTACATGCTTATATGATTTCACAACCAAATCAAATTAAAAAAAATAATAATAAAAACAATAATTAAAATCTGTAAAGACAATAAAATTAAACTAATTTTATCAACTGGCCTGACTCAAAAAATTTAAAACATTTACATATATAAAGAAATTCTTATTAGAATTATAATAGACAATCTAACTAACCTAAAACTATTAAAAAAGAAATTAAATCTACTTCTAAATAGTTATTATCAAAATTTAAAAAAATTATATAAATATATATGAAAACTAAGTTAAAAAAACCTTCAATATTATATCTTCTTCTTGTTAACCTTTACTAATAGTAACTTAGACTCTACACTTATAGTTCTTATAGATAGACAATATGCTATATGACTCAATATATTTATATAGTTTAATCAAAAATCTCCTCTTACTGAACTCATAAACTAAAGGTTTCTTAACCATTTTTGCTAAGAATAGATTGAAAGTAAATTAACTCTAACTCCTACTCTTTTAGTTTAATGTATCAATTTGTACTAATATACTTAATTATATATTACTAAAATAAAGGACTAAATAAAAAACCTTTCTTAAAAAAAGAATTTAAAATAAAAAAACTAACTCATAATCCAGTAATCAGAATTGAATAATTAGCATTAATTGATTTGTTTTGATAAGATAATTTAAATGATACTAAAACTAGGTATTAGAAACTAATAAGGTTCAAAACAAACTATTTTTAATAATCTATATGACATAAAGTGTATAAATAAGATACCTAGGCTATTAATTTATATAAATCTGATCAAGTAATTTAATTGGTCATGCATTTAACATGTGAATGTTTATTGGTTTCTTTTTTATATTACGCCTAATCTGGCAATTTTATTAACTATTACACATGTCCGGACAGACAGACATTGCATGGTTTGATGTAGTATAATGTACTATGCTACGCTTCTGCCATAATGTTCATACTTATCTTTTACTATTTTATTTTATATTGAGATATTTTTTTAGAACAATTAGATCTTGACAAAATTAACAATTTTATTGTCAACTTATCAGAAGCAACTAATTATTTACATATTTGAAAACTACAACTAGTCAAATATAAACTTTTAATTGTCTAATTTAATTGGTTTGTCTAAGGTTCTACACTAGTTTATATAATAATATCACATCAAAAATTTAATTCTTTTCTTAAAGATGACAACGCTTTTAAATAAATATCCTTGGTACCAAAATGACTTTTATGAAAGCGAAGGAAGATTTTATTTACTTGTTCAAAACGTTTTGTTGATCATCGTAAAAAACAATCTAAATTCATATATAAAAACTAATAAGTACAACAGACAAAACCAAATTACTGAACTTAGCGAAATATCAAATCAACAAAATTTAACTATATTTCAAACTCAAGTAACTGATGAACAATAAATTAATGTTTGATTTAATTAAAGCTTTTATTTGGATTCCTATTTTGGTGTAGATAAATCGTTCATTCTCAAATTATAAACATATTAAACATATTTTAGATGATAAATGGAGAGCTCTTACTGAAAAAAGTATTGCAATGTTAAATTTTAACGAACATAACTTTTTGTAAAATATAAGTTCGTAATAAATTTTAGTTTTCTGATTTTGCTACTAGCCATTTTCGCTAGCTATGTTTGCTAGTAATTTCCACTGGTTCCGATTCACACTACATATACGTAATTTGTTTATTAATGTGTGATCATATATGATCACTAATTTTGTATATTTATTGGAATATTCATTATTCGCATTAGTTAGACTTGCCGTAAGCACCTTCTGTAGGCTACACTCTCACCAGAAACGTGCATTTATGAAGGGTTGATTGTATTGCCACCAATAATAACAAATATTGTTTGGAAAATGTTTATGAAAAACAATCACAGCCCATTCAATGAGCCACACATACTTAAATACGACAGAATCAGAATAAGCCACGCTCATTTCAAAGCTTTTATGAAAACCAACTTTTCGTGTAATCTAAACCACTAAAGTTCTTATAAATGGATGGAAGGCAATCACGCAATGCGGGCAGAACTAATCGCCCAGCATCTGATATATTTAAGGAAGAAGACAACATAATAGCGGAACTCGTTACACCAGAAAAGCTAGATGAAGATGATAATAGCATGAAATACCTCTGTATCGTAGTATGTGGATTGAGTTTAGTAATCATAATAATAATAATATTTTTCATAATCCTTTATTTTTTTATTGAGTTGGATACTGAATATGATACTTCCAAGATTCCTTTTCAATATCAACTGAGTCTGAGACATTTGTATGCAATTAATAATCGATATGACTATGTTATTTCAAGTCTTCCTGATAGTGAATATATCCAAAAATTGAACCTTACTGCTCGTGATGGTGACCAAAATTCAAACAATATTTCCTCGACAAAATCAAATAAAACTAAGCAAATTGAACTTGGACTCCTAATTTCACGATCAATGAGAATCTTAACACCTGGTTATTATGAAGCTCAGGAAGATAGGTACTCACAGAATGGCACAATATACCGAGTAATAACTGCCACAGCAAGTTACACAAATTTGTTTTACACTGCCTGGTACCCACCAATCACTATTGAATTTTTTACTAATCCAAATGAATCCGCATATAAAGTGACAAATTATCAAGATTTGATTCTTTGCAAATATCAATTTACATGGACATCTATCCCAAACGGTTATGTCAATCGGAAATGTAAGGACGATTCAAAGTTTCTAGCGATATCTTATGTTAATGGATCAAGTTTGTTTGGATTCACATTTTATAGCTTAGATGAAATGAATATTTATGCACATGCAACAGCACCAGATTTAGCCGATCAAGATTTCTTTTTTAGAAGGTATTGGGTATTTTTGAAATGATTTAATGGCTTAAGAATAATTAATTTAATCTAATTAATTGTTATTTATGTTAATAATAAGGAATGTATATATAGATAAAAACGCTCCATTTCCAACACTTATACCCGCTTTTTATACTGCTTATTATGACTATATAGATAATATTTCATACAATGCTATGTATTTTTTGTAAGATTTATTCTGAATTTGGGCAAATCTTTGCCTAAGGTTTTAAATATCACCTACAATTATTCAAGTGCTACATTATTCACTTTGAGACTTTAAAATAATTAATGGAGTAGTTACATTCACTGGGAGTTGGAGGTTTGGAAACATATTATATAATTACATATATAGTAAAAATAAAATTTATTAAAGACATCTATTTTGCTATTAGATCACCGTTTATTTACCGTGCTTTTCAAATTACTGTGATTGATCATAGAAATCTGGGAATCAGGAATCTATTAAATACAAGCCTGTGATTGGCTAAAAATCATATTAGACAATTGTATTGCGTATACTATGTATAAAGATCAAATATTGATTGTTTTTAAACTGATTAAAAAATTTTCAATTATGACCCAAACAATTTCGATATTTAAGATCATTTTTGTATTTTACTAGCCTGTAGAATTTGAAATGAACAGACATTGGCAAGATAAATTTACTTGAAATTTGAGAAAGTTAGGTAAAAAAAGTTAAATGTTTAGTGTCTCTTAATCAGACAATTACAAGCATTAGTATATATACGGATATTATATTAGAAAATTGGAAATGTAATTTTTTAAGCGACAATTTTAAACAGTGAAGAATCTACAGCGCTTTTCAAATTAGTATGACCACCAAATTTCATGCATCATACACCACGTATTATTTAGTAATCAGGAATTGGAATTTAATATCAAATACAAACTTATGATGTCTAAAAATAACCATTTGATTTGATACCCAGTTACTATCAAATGTTTAATAGTAGATATATATATTTGTTAAACGTTGGGGAAGATTTCTCATTATCAGCATATTCAGTTCGCTATTTAGGATTGTTTAAGAAAGTTCAAGCAAGCTTTCTTACGATTTATAATTATAAATAGGTAGTTTTACTGTATGGAAGCTGTTTTGCAAATTATTATTTCATTATAATTAAAACTGAAATTCCCAATATTATTCAAACTTATAGCCAATCCTTGCGTATTACTTGATATAGTATTAAAAAAGTGGAAATCAAGAGGAATTTTGGAAATTTCTAGTTGTGAGCAAAATAAATTTATTCGCAAAAAAGTGCTAAAATTAGGAAATATTGCTAACTTCTGAGTGATGGATGATCGTTGCTAATTAGAAAAGCGCTGTAAAGGAATTTAAAATATTTGTGATTGGTGGTCATTGCCGATCACGATAATTTGCAATTTAGTGTTTAACGTTAAGATTATTTGAACACAAATTGGGCCAATTTGAAAACAAGTGAACCTGATTTGATTAGTTTGATCCGATCTTGGTTTATTAAACCCAGCTAGGGCTGTGAAAAAGCTTGTAGGACCCGGTCCTTGAGTCGACTTCAGACAAAGTCCGAATGTAGGGGTCTGCATGTCCTTTGTCCCGGTAATTGGTCATTTTGATTAGCTAATTTACGCCGATCCATAAAATTTCGCAGAGGACTATTAAAAATTAGTCTTGCAGGGGGACTATTAAAAATCAGTCTTGCGGATAGAAACCATTAAAAAGTAGTCTTGCGGGGGGAACTAGTCTTGCGAGTAGGAACCATTAAAATTAGACTTGAGAGGTGAGCTATTAAGAATTAGTCTTGCAAGGTTTTGTGGGATTATTAATATTCATTTTACATTAATTAATTGTATATTAATTTCACAATTTAATTATTTAATAAAAACTTTTAATTTCATGGAGGTTTATTAAATTTTTTTTTATTGTAGTATGTAATAAATAAAACAAATTAAAGACTGTCATTTTTTTTTGTTGATATTACATCTCAGTTTTAATAAAAAATTTTTTACAACATTAAAATCTCTAAAATCATGTTCTGTCTTATTTCTTCATTTGTTCTCAATTCTTCAAATTAAAATGACATTAGTAATAAACCTACTAATAATTATAGTTCTCCAAATGAAGAATATTAGTGGTTTAAAAAAATCAAAAAAAATTGTCTATTCATGATTTCCTTAAATTAAATGAAAATGGTACTCATATTTGTAAAATATGTACTGACAACTCTGACAATGAACCTAGTAAATGGAGTGCAGGTACATTTCTGTCAATAATCTTATATCATTTTGAAAGTAAACATCCAGATCTTTACAAAGATTTTTAGCACAAAAATTACAAAGTTATTTGTATTATATACTCAACAACAAATGAAGTTGGAAAGAAATATATTGAATCTTTAAACCATAATCTTTATAAATTTATTGTTAAAAGACAACTAGTTTTTTCAATAGTTGACAAAATTCTTTTTATTAAATTTGTTTCAAACCTTGATTCATGATATAAGTTACCCTGTTATTAAACAGTCTCTATGACTATTAAAAAATTTTTGAATTAATAAAAATAGAAATAAAAAATATACTAAAATCAAATTGCAGTAAACTAGTACTTACTATTAACATTTGAATGATATATAATTAACAACAATTTCTTAAAATTATGATTTACTGAATAGATGTGGAATAAATAATAAAGACTCTTCTTCTTGATTTTATATTTTTATACAAATTCTATACTAGCATGTATCTTGAAGAAAAATTAGTTAAGTTTGTGAAAGACCTAAAAATAAAAAATAAAATTCTAGATTTTATTGGTAATAATATATCAAATAACCAAATAAGTTTACTTTATCTTCAAAACCATATTAATCTTAATTTTATATATAAAGTATGCTATACATATTTTAAACCTTATTGTAAAAGAAGAACAAAAACATTTTAGTAAACAGATAAAACAAGTATAGTGTATCTGCAATAAAATTAGAAACTTACCTACCCTTTTATAAGAAATAAAACTAATTTTTATAATTTTTAATTGATTATTTCTTTATTTTAAACTTGATATTGAAACAGGATTAAATTCTATCTATCTTATATTAAAACAACTTATAGAAATTAAGAACATTATAGACTATTTAGTATTAATTTGTTCTAATTTAAAAGTAAACTACTTAGAACTAAAAGATTAAAAAGTAGTTAATAAAATGGTTCAGTTTTTTGAACCTTTCTAAAAGATAATATTAGAATTATCAAAAATGACATTACCTTTATACAGTCCATTATGAATAATTTTTCAAGAACTTTTAACCCATTTTGATAATTATAATGAAACTACAAATACAACTATATATTATAAAGTGCTCAAAGAATTAAAAAAAAAATTATTAAAATACTAAACTTATCTTTTAAAATTCTTAACTATTCTAGCTTTATTTGATCTGTTTACTAAATTCAATATTTTCAATAAAGAAGATCTTCAATTAGCTATTAAAAGTTTGAAGATTTTGTATTCATTTTAGTTTATGAATAAAACAACAGTAGAGTTTAGAAAACTTCTATTAAAGTATTTTAAAATCTGGAAAAGTTAAGTTAAAATAATCAAGTTTCATCAAATAAGTTAGTAAACTACCTTTTACTATTTGCAAAATCATATACTAATTTATTGTTGTAATAGAAAATTAAAGCTTATCAATTTCTAAATGTAGCTTTAATAGTAGCAAACTACTTTGCACTGCAAGTTACAAGCATTTTATGTGAATATGCTTTTTCTGTAATAAAACATATGATAAATCTTACAAAAAATAGTTTTTTTAAAGAATCTATAAGGGCCACTTTGTGTATAAAAAGTTGGTCTAAGACAGAAGTTTTAAAGTAAATGTAAAATAAAATAATAATTAGTGTTAGTTTTTAATAATAATAATAAGTTTAGTGATAATAAGTATTTTTGAATATGTAATGATAATGATAAAGATTATCATATTATTATAACTTATAGATTGACTTAATGATCGAGTCCTGATCAAAGTTCTTATTTGAGAAGTCTAAACAGATAGGATCAGACTTCAAACAGCTCTAAACCTAGCTTAAGCTCAGATTCTTGTTTATTTAATTTATTTAAATATATAAAGTATCATTATTATATAGATATACTTTTCTTAGACCTAGGTAATTGGAATCTCCTTAAACTTGATAAATTTTTATTTGGAACGCTTTGAAAACTGTCATAATGGTTTTATATAGCACAGTAACAAGTAGTTAACAGTTATTATTCTTACAAGATTGTAATATTATAAAAATCCAAATTTAACTAACAGTTAATAGTTACAGAAGTATATCATAACAGTTTTGTGTAGTATAGTAATAAGCTATTCTCACAAGATCACAATGTTATAATGGTCCTATATAGTGCAGTTATAATGGTTAAGATGTGCATATGTAGAAATAATAGTTATAATAGCCATGTAGTACAGTAAATAATAGTTAACTGTTTTTACAAATTTATTTAGCCAATACAATTAGAAATAGGGTTAATTATTGACATATATTTTTAGTAAATTATTATTTTAGCTAAATGAGCTAGCTGTCAGTTAAAGACAAATCTCATTATCAATTATTAACAATAATAGATTTTTATTTAGAATTGCATCAATACACTATTACAAGTGCATATTCTATTTATTTTTGCTTTACAATATGCACTAATGAGTTTTATTCATAAAAATCTTAGATCTATAACAGAAATGGAATAGAAGATAGATTAAGATTATTGCAATGTATTACTTTAATCTTGAAATAGTTAATTATTAAAACTTTATTTATCAAAATTTGCATAATAGAAATATTTTATAATTTAAAATGCACATATTGAACTATATAACATCTCTATTATATTATCATTATATATAAATGCTATTAAGAGAAAACTTATTATTGGGCTTTCAATTATATTTTGTACCAGACAAAATCCTAATAAATTAGATAAATTGTATTTAGCACAAAATATAATTGAAAGTACAATAATAGGTTTCTCTTAGTGGCACTCATATGTTGTATATATATACATAATTAAAATCAAATTTTTATTGATTCTAAATTGATATAAGTTGCAAAAAATTCTTATCTAATATAGAAATTTGGAATTAACTCAATAAAATATAAAAAGTATAACTAATCTGTAAGATGTAAACAAATTTTTTTCAGTCTGAGCAATTCTTAAAATTAGGCATTTATTAAAGTTATTAACAAGTTGTTTATTTATAAACTTTATATAGTCTTATAAAGTTATATAAATATTATATATTTATATAAAATATAAAATCTATATAAATTTTATTTATATTTATATAGAAATAATTTAAGTTTACTTTAGCTATTTCTCAAAAGTGACTAAGATAATCACTAATTAGTACACTAAAAAAAAAATATTTATCATGTTTGAAAACCTTCTCTAAACTCCTAATTTAAATATAAAATCTAATTCTAGATTTAATATTTAAGTTAAAAATGTTTGTTATATTACATAATTCTAAATAAAAATATATATAAGCTTATATAAATAAATATGTAAATCTAAGGGGTGTAATAACTTAGTGAAGTGAATAAGTTGTTAACCTCCCAAGTAGTAGGTAGTAAGTTCAAAACTCACTAATAGTGAAAATTTGAATAATTACCTATGTAATATATAAACAGTATTACAGCAATGGCATTCTGTCAATCAGTTGGGATAAGATACCTATAACATGTTGCATCAGCATAAATGGCAGATTATGGGGCATCTGCACAATGTTGGAGTTATACAAAAGAATGCAAACCAGTATCAAGTGGTGCAAATACAAGATAAGTTCTTGTAGTTATATAAACTTATAAACTGGGAAGCTGAAGCCCACTTAGAAAGATCTGAGTAGAGAGATAGTATGGATTTTTAACAATACCACTATAAAGGCTAGATCTAGAAAACAGATACCAATGTGAAAGAAATCAGGTGAGCAAGAAATTAGATAAGAGGTATCACCAACCAGGCCATTGAAAGTCTCGAACCAAAGAAAAAGGATCTTGAAGAGCAGACTCTGGAATACTAAAGACAGGTCATAATCCTTCTAGGCTATTTGAATTGAGAGTCTGAGGTCAGAAACAGAGATATACTATAAGTACTAGAGATATACTATAAAGTTGGTTTTGAGGTTTAGGTAAATTCTGCAAGAATGAGCCCTGTTAATAAAGATAAATATAGGTAATTAGTTAGCAGAAAGGCATCCTTTAGCTGTACAGTTAGGTAATATACTCTGAAATGTGTAACAGACATATAGAAGAAAGGCTAAA